GCTGGGCGCGCGCGGCGCGAGCGTCGGCGGCGGCGGCGGACGCGCCGGCAGCGCGTGCGCCGCCGCCGCGCGCGGTCTTTTACTCGCGTCCGCGCCGCGCGCCGCCGCCGCGGCGGCGGCGTCTCGCTCCTCGGCGAGTTGATGCGTGCGCTCCGCCGCGCGCTTGATGCCCCCGCCGACGTAGTTCGCCGCCCTCGCCTGCAAGAACGCCGCGGCCGCGGGGTTGTGCGCGCCGCCGCCGCGTCCGCCGCCGTCCCACGCCCTCGTTCTCCCGCTCGTCGACGCGATGACGTCCGCGCCGATCAGATGCGCTTGCCACTCGGCCTCGATGCCGTACTCGCGCGCCACCTTCTTCGCGGCGACCGCGGCGATCCGCATCGCCGCGCCCTCGGGCGCGCCGGGGGGCTCCCACCGCGACTCCCCGAGCGCGGCGTTGTGATAATACGGCAGCTCCGTGCTCGGGTCGATCGAGCGCGTCCATCCCTCGGGGAGGGACCGCTCGGTCGCCATCCCGCGTGCCGCCGCGCGGTCGGGTCTGGCGGACGCGTTGCGTGGCTCTCACAGCAGTTTCGAGTCGTCCCGTGAGATCGACGAAGTCTACTCCACCGTCACACGTTCGACGCGCTCGCCCCGCACGCGGCGCGATGGGACGCGACGATGACGACCACGCGGAGATGGACCCGGACGCGCTCATGCGGCGCGGGGATAAGAAGATGACCGTGTCGTTCACTCGATGGAAACCCGACCTGGACGAGGCGGTGCGATGCTACGAGGAAGCCGGTGCGCGTCCGTCGTCAGATCCGACATCGATCCGCGCCCCGACGCGTCCCTCGCCCCTCCCGCCGTCGTCGTCGCCGACCGACGCCCTCGTCGACCCCCCCTCCCTCCCTCCCTCCCTCCCGACGCCCGCCGCGCGCAGGCGTGAAGTACAAGGCGACGCGAAGGAAGAAGCAAGCGATCGTCGCGTTCGAGAAGTGCGCCGAGGCGTCCGAGCGCCAGGGCAGCGAGTGGCACGCGGGGAAGCACCTCGAGCAGTGCGCGATGCTCGCTAAGGACGCGGGGACGCCCGCGGAGGTGGCCGCGTTCGCGGAGCGCGCGTGCGCGGCGTACTGCACCGCGGGACGCGCGCAAAGGGGCGCGGAGTGCCTCGGGAAGTGCGCGAAGCTCATCGAGGACGCGGACGGCGACGTCGCGTGCGGGTTGCTCCTGCGCGCGTGCGAGATGTTAACCGACGACGTGCGTATGATAATTTTCACTCGGCGTCCGACGCGCCGCGTCGCGTCGCGTCGCGTTCCGCCAATCGCTGACGTCCACGTGCCCATGCCACCAATCACACGCCGCAGGATAAACACGTGTACGCGCAGGATTTGTTCAGGACCGCGGGCTCGATCAAAATGCGCCAGGAAAAGTTCCAGGAGGCGTCCGACGTCATGCTTCGCTTCGGCGCGTGCTGCGACGTCACGGACAGCGCGCCGAGTCTGTGCAAAGCCTACCTCTCCGCGATCATCGCGCTGCTGTACGCGGGCGACGGCGTCGGCGCGCAGGCGACGTACGCGGACGTGAGCGGCGTGCCAAATTTCCAAGGCAGCGAGGAGCAGAGGACGTGCTACGGTCTGATCGACGCGTTTCGAGACGCGGACGTCGCGCAGATTCAGAGAGTCGTCGAGCGGAGTTCCACCGCGGCGTTTCTGGAGCCGCCGTTCGCGCGCGCGGCGAAGAAGCTGCCGCGGCCGGGCGTGGATTTGAAGGCGCTCAGCGTGAAGATGGGCGGCGGCGGCGGCGTTCTGGCGCAGGGCGAGGGGTTCATGGGGGACAGAGTTCCGGAGAACGTGGACGACATCGACATCGGGGAGGAGGACGACGACGACCTGACGTGAGCGCGAGCGAAGACGGCGAACGGGAGTTCAAGTCGTCGCGACCGACGCGACGCGATGGATGGCGTCACATCACGTCACATCACGCGAACGAACGAACGAACGAACGAATCCTTCCTAACGTGGTTGGTAGTATTTTTACGGGTCGCGACGCGTCCCCGTCTTTATTATCTAGTGCGCAGCTACGAACGACCCCCACCCCGCCCCCTCTCGAGCGGCGTCCAGTCGTCGTCGTCGTCGACGAGTACAATAATCAGTACCACTTGATGCCGTGGTCGTGCACCGTGCACTCCTTTATGAAGAACGGCCCGTCGATCGGCTTGTCGTTCTTGTCGACCGGCACGTTCCCGAGCTTCCCGACGGTCGTGATGTGATCGCTGACGCGACCGAAGATGGTGTGCTTCCCGTCCAGCCACGGCGTCGGCGCGAGCGTGATGTAAAACTGCGATCCGTTCGTGTTGGGCCCGCTGTTTGCCATGCATAAGATCCCCCCGCCCGTGTGCTTCAGCTCGCGCGTGATCTCGTCCTCGAACTTCCCGCCCCAGATGGACGCCCCGCCGCGCCCCGTCCCGGTCGGGTCCCCGCCCTGGATCATGAAGTCTTTGATGACGCGGTGGAACACGACGCCGTTGTAGTAGCCCGTGCGCGCGAGCTCGATGAAGTTCTGGCACGTCTTCGGGCAGTGGAGGTAGTACAGCTCGACCGTGATCGGTCCGATGTTCGTGTGGAGCGTCACCTCGGGCGCGGTCTTCCGCTGCGCCGCCGCCGCGGGCTGCTCGTCCTCTGGAGACGGCATCGTGTCGTGCCTCGTGCGCGCGCGAGTGATGAGGCGACGGGGAGGGCACCGGGCGGATGCAAACTGATGATGAACGCGCCCTCCGCGGTCGGTCGCAAAAAGAGCCGAACGACAGGATGAATGCCGCGGCTCCCGTCGTTGCCGGGACGCACTGCGACCGGCGCGCGGACGCGCGCGAGGAAATCGGCGCGGTCGAAGAGAGCTCTTCGCGATGCCGCCGAGGCCGGCGATGCCCGGACAGATGATGGTTCGTCGCGCCTCGTCCAGTCTCGAACGCCCGCCCCTCGCGCCGACGCTTCGCGCGTGATCCGCGAACGTTCGTAGTTGCTTCGTCATAACGGCTTCTTCACGCGACGCGCGTCCCCACTCCCCCGCTGACGCGCTCATCCCCCCCCCCCCACCGCGCGACCGCAGGACGACGACGACGACGGCGAGGGCGTGTCGGGATACGACGCGTCCGGGTACAGAATCGGCCCGCCGAACGGCGGTCGCGGCCGCGCGAACGCCGCGCCGATGTCCGCGCCCGCGGGACGAGGCGGAGGCCGCGCCCCCTCGATGGCGGAGCAGCTGGCGGCGATGCGCGGCGGGAACGCCGCGTACGGCGCGGCCGCGACCGCGACCGCGCCGTCCCCGTCCCGCGCCGGGTTCACGACGAGCGCGAACCCGATGTACGACGTCGAGGACGGCGACCGCGGCGGCGCGGAGGGCGACCGCTCGCCGCTGCTCCCGCGAGGGGGATCCGGAGGCGACGGCGCGTCGGGGTCGCCGCAGACGCTGTCGCCGCGACGCGGCGGCGGCGGCGGCGGCTCCGGCGACGACGCCGGACCCGGAGTCGCCCGCCCGCCGCGTCCCGCCGCCGCGCCCGGCAGCACGAACCGCTTCGCCGCCGCCGCCGCGGAGCGCGCGCGCCTCGCGGCCGAGCGCGCGCATCAAGACGCGGCGAACGACGCGTCGGGATTCGATTCGGCGCGCGGCGGCCGCGGCGCCGCGCAGTCCAACGCGTCGCGCGCGACGTCGCGGAGCGGGTCAGTCGTCTCGGAGCCGCACTCGCAGAGCGCGGGGGGGGTCCTTCGAGATCCGCAGACGGCGGCGGCGGCGACGACGCAGCAGCAGCAGCAACAGCAGCAGCGGGGACCCCCGTCGTCCCAGGGAGGAGGAAGCCAACAACGCTCGCGGCCGCCACCGCCGCCGCCGCGATCGGGTCCGCCGTCGACGACGTCCGGCGGCGGCTGGGCCGCGCCTTCCGATATGATGGGCCCGCCGCTCGTACCGATGATGGCGCGAGAGACGCACTTCCCGATGGACACGCGCGGGTTGTCGAAGCCGATGCCGGCGCCGACGGGCTACACCGCCTTCACCGCCGCGACGGCGACGGCGAACGCGACGGGCGGGCCCGTCGCCGTCGTCGATCCGTTCGACGACAAAAACGTCCTCGCGGTGAAAAAAAAAGAAGAGATAAGCGACGACTTTTGGACCATCAACCACATGAAGCTCTTATACCTCATCTCGAAATACTCGCACTGCGCGCAGACCGTGCACGAGAAGGAGCGGTGGATCCGCAAGCTCCCGATGCTGGTGCTGTTGTACGAGGGCATCATCTCCAACGTGTTCGAGTACGACTACGCGCCCGCGTCGGAAGTCGTCGAGACGACGCGCGTGTATATGAACGTGACCCAAGAGGGCAAGGACGACCTCGACGACCTCGTGGAAGGGAAGCTCGTGAAAGGGCTTCGGCTGAGCACGAAAGAGCACCAGAGCGTGACGGCGTATCAAATCTCCCCGAGCGGGCTGCAGCTGATATCCAAGCGGCTGCCGGACGAGGAGCGACAGCTCGTGGACGACCTGTGCGTCGTCGACGGGAAGCTCCTCCAGGTGGTATGGGAGGAGGACAAATTCCTTCTTCGAACGATGACGTTCTCGCGCGAGAGCAGCATCACCGACGCGGAGGACGTGTCGTACGTGGTGTCGCCGTATCTCCCGCGGTCGCTGCGAAGGGTCGGCGGACCGGTGATGAGCAGCAACGCGCACCGCGCGTCCGAGAGCGCGTCCAAGGAGAGCACGATTCGCGACGACCTGGACGAGGTCATCACGCTGTCGAACGTCACGATCTTGATCGGGGAGTGGATCCCGTTCGGGGCGAACCAGGTCGTGGAGTTGAACCTGAAGCTCGGGTCGAACGAGCGGTGCCAGGGCGGGTACTTCACCGCGCAGGTGGACGACGACTCCACGAACACGCAGTGCGAGGTGCCGACGGGGTTGACGTCGGTGCAAATCTTGGATCACGACATGACGCGGTTCACGAACCTCGAGGCGGAGGTGTACTACCCGGAGGAAGACGGCGTCGTGCAGATCGAGCACTTCGGGATACACACGCGCATGGACGGCACGGTCGTGTACGGGCTCATGATCGAGAGCGTGATGGACCGAATCTTGGAGAACATCTCGCTCGATAACCTCGCGCGGCTTCTCGTGGACGTCCACGTGGACTCGTCGCGCATGATGGAGTCGCTCCTGTCGAATCACCAGCGCGATCTGCTCGACATGATCTTCCTCGGGAACACCGGGAACCGCCCCAAGGTGAACGTGATAATCGCGGACAGGGTCGTCCCGAAGCAAGCCGCGGAGCGATACCTGGACAAGGACGCGTTCGAGAACGAGATCCGGCAGGTCATCGGCGACACGTACGAGGCGCACGATCTCGGCGAGAACGACGTCGTCATCACCGGCTCGCACGGGATCATGCTCGTGGGGCCGCACTCGAAGATGCAGGAGGGCGTCATGCTGGCGTTCTTGTCGTTGCGGAGCCGCGACGTGTTCGTGCAAAACGTTTTCAACCGGCTGTTCATCATCGACGACGTGCTGAAGACGACGCGGACGAGCATCGCGACGTACGAGCAGGACCCGAACAGCGTCCCTAAGATCCGCGCGGTGCTCTCGGAGACGTCCAAGGACATCATCCTCCTCGAGGAGGTTTTGTTGTACCTGCACGAGTCCTTGGAGCAGGACACGTCCATCTACGCCGAGCCCGTGGACGAGGCTGGGTACAAGCTGTACCAGGTGTTGAAGGTCAAGCTGATCTTGAACGACCTGCAGATTCGCATCTCGGATATGCAGAAGGTCTTGAAAGGCAGCCGGCACGAGGTGAACGGGCTGCGAAGCATGACGGACACGATCGCGGAGACGCAGATGTTCCGGTTGCAGGAAGAGATTCGCGGGAACAGCAGCGACATGCTGCATCAGTTGAAAGTCAACGAGCGCGCGGCGACGTCGATGGACATGCTCCAAATTTTATTCGCGGGGCTCCTCGCGTTTGCCATCTTGGACCGCGTCACCGGGGAGTGGACCGTCGTGCACACGACGTGGGCGCGCGAGTTCATCGTCGAACCGTTCATGAACAAGCCGATGCTGTGGTTTCTGATCTCCATGGTGGCGTGGTTCCTCGTCGGGCGGACGGTTTTTTGGGCGATGGCGGAGACGCTCGACAAGACGGGCGGCGTGATCACGTTCCGGGTGAAGGTCAACAAAGCGATCGACCTGAACGCGCTCGACGCGTACTTGTCCAGGAAAGCGGTGACGTCCGAGGACGGCGACGCGGACTCGCTGAACGCGAACCAGAAGGTGTCGTGGGTCGAGAAGGACGCCGCGAAGTGGGAGGGGTACAAGCCGAAGATCGAGATGAACTACGACTTGAAGTTTGGTTTCCTGCTCACGGTGTACTTGCAAGTGTCGCGGCGCGCGTCGAAGCCCGCGAAGCTGCGGCCGGAAACGCTGAAGATGCGATTCTTCACGGAGCTCCAGGAAGCCGGGATCATGGCCCCGGACGACGCCGCGGAGGTGATAGACAACACGCGGCGGCGGCAGACGCGCGACGACGAGATGGTCTCCGTCGAAGACGCGACCGTGTTCTTGAAGGTTCGCGTCCCGGGCGAGCGGCATTACCGCGAGATTCCGTTCGGGCGGCAGAGCTACTTGGAGCTCAGAGAAGAGATCGCGCACAAGTTCGAGTGCAAGCCCGTGCACGTCGTGCAGGTGTTCAAGGAGCCGGACATCCTCATCGCCGACGACGACGACGTCAGCCGGTTGAAGCCCGGGACGATCTTGGAGGTGAACATAAAGAACTACAAGGGCGTGGAGAAGAAGCTCATCGGCGAGGGGCCGGAGGACTACTGATTACTTATGACGCGTGAACAGATCGATTCGATTTGCGAGTTCGCTTCGTTACATCGTCTACGTGCGCGTGTATGTGTGCGTTCTACTCGTTCGCGTTCGTTCGTGAGGTCACGTTCTTCGTTCGTGAGGTCACGTCGTTCGACGTGAAACTTCGCACGCCGCGCTCGTCGTCGTTCGTTCTCGCGCGTCGGCGCCGCGGTCGACCTCCCGCCATCCCCGGGGACGCGTTGATGATTTTCTCGTCGACGCTCACTCGTCCTGGTCGTCATCCGTCTCGTCGTTGTCCTCGCGACTACGCCCCCTCTCCTACCTCCCCAGCTATCCACTGCAGCACACCCTCGTGCTTGCAGCTCCGCGCCCGAGCTTTGCATCGCTCCGGATCCCACGGAGCGCCGTTCGCGCGCGCCCACTGCAGCATCTCCAGGTAACCGCCTTCCGCGGCATAGGCGCAAATGCTCTCGTTCCACGGACAGGGAGGGTCGCTCGCGCGCAACCACTTCAGCACCTCCAGGTAGCCCCAAAACGCGGCTTCGGTGCAAGTCGGCTCGCTCCACGGACAGGGAGGGTCGCTCGCGCGCGCCCACTTCAGCACCTCTAGTTGACCGAATTCCGCGGCTGTGTGGCAAGTCCCCTCGTCCCACGGAGCGCCATTCGCGCGCGCCCACTTCAGCATCTCCAGGTGGCCGCCTCCCGCGGCCCAGGTGCAAGTCGACTCGTCCCACGGACAGGGAGGGTCGCTCGCGCGCAACCACTTCAGCACCTCTAGGTGGCCGCTTTCCGCGGCTGCGCGGCAAGTCCACTCTTCCCACGGACAGGGAGGGTCGCTCGCGCGCGACCACTTCAGCACCTCCAGGTGGCCGCCTCCCGCGGCTCCGGCGCAAGTCTCGCCCCACGGAGCGCCGTTCGCTCGCAACCACTGCAGCATCTTCAGGTGGCCGCCAAACGCGGCTAAGAAGCAAGTCTCCTCGTTCCACGGGCATCCTCGCTCCTTCGCCCACCTCGCGACCTCCACGTTCCCACCCCTCGCGATGCACATGAACGTCGCCGCGATCCACGGACACCCTCGCTGTTCCTTCGCCCACGTCAACCTGCTGACCGACCCGACGAAGTTCGGCATCCTCCCGAGCTCTCTCCTCACCGCCGCGACGTCCCTCACGTCGCCGTCGGGCGAATCGAACACGACGTCGCGCATACTCCGGCTCACCAGCGCGAGCATCGCGCGGTCGCCGTCTTCGAGCCGCGAGAGCACGTGCGCGTCGAAGACATCGCGCGCGTCCGCGGCGAATCGTTCCAAGCGCGAGCCCGCGGCGAGATCGGGGGAAGTCGATCCGTCCCCCGGGATCTCGTCGACGTCCCCGCTGTTCATCCGCGGTAGAGGCGACGTCGCGTCGCGACGATCTCGGGGTGCGCGAGCAGCACTTCGCGACGAGGCCGCCGCAGAGGCGGAGGAGGGAGAGGAGGAAGAGGACGCGCCCGTCGTCGCGCGCGAGGCGAGTGACGAGACGGGACGACTCGACGCGGGCGTTTCTGTTCGTGCTCGAGCGGAGCTGCAGGTGTCCCCGTTTTTTTTTCAGTGAAATGCACCATGCTCGATTGACGCGACCACCGCCGCCTCAAAACTGCTCCGATTGACCTGAAAATTTGTGGAGGGGTTCCTTACATCATGTAGATGATGATCCCGATGTGTAATGCAAAAAGAAACAAAAATTTGAGCTAGCCCAGGATCGAACTGGGGACCTTCTCCTTCGGAGGGAGACGCGATATCCACTTCGCTACAAGCCCGTTGCTGGACCACTGATAGATGTTGAGCGGGATTCGGCTTTTAGAAAATATATACTCGAGCATTTTTTCAGGTTCAACTTTTCAGGTTCCGATCAATTTGACCGGGAGGAGGGATCGGTGAAGCTTAATCGCATCGTCGCGTCGAATCGCGACGTCCCGCGCGTGACGAGGCAGTGCTTTATTCTCTTCGCGTCGCCCTCTCCCTCACAACCTCTCGCGCGTCCGCACGCGACACCGTTCGCTCGCGCGACGAAACCACAGATCTACCTCGCGGTCGTCTCGTGCTCGTGCTCGTGAACGTTATCCGCGCACCACCGAGCGCGCGTGCGTCCGACTTCTCCGGGGGACGGGGAGAATCGTTGTTGTTTCATTCGCCCCTCGAGGAGGAAGAACGCGACGCGCGCTCCGCGACGACCGACGAACGCGGCTGCTCCGGTAGAAAACGGAATAGGCGCGGCGTAGACTCGACGCCATGGACCAGGTGCGTCGTCGCGCGGAGCCCACCCTCTTCCCGCGCGGTGGAGTGCCTTCATCTTTCTCGCCACGTGTGCCAAAAGTCGAGTGGAGTCCCTCTCTCCTTTTAACATGCCGTTCCAAACGCGACCGACCTGACCGACCGACTCCCCCCGTTCCCTTCCCGCGCAGCCGTCCGAGGAAGAGATCATGCGTCAGCAGGAGGAGAAGATGCGCGCGAAGTACGGGGACTTGAAACCGAAGAAACCGTTGATACACAAGGACGTGAAGTACTTCGACAGCGCGGACTGGGCGCTGCAGCACCAAAAAGGACACGAGGGGCCGCAAAAGGGCGAGGAGGACGTGGAGAAGTTGCCGTCGAAGCTCGCGTCGTCGCCGCCGTCGAGTAAGTGACGCGACGCGCGCTCTATAGTAGCCTCACGTAGTAGCGTTTGAAGCGTTTGAAACACGACACGAACGAAGGACGCGAGCGAAACTACCTGTACTTTCGCAGCGCGCTCGGAGAAAAGATTCATTCCGCGCCACGAGTAGTCGCGCGCGCTGTGAAAAATAGATTCATAGATCCAAAGTGATCGCTCGCCAATTACAAGAAGCTACGGCGACGGACGCGGCGCGTTGCCTCCCTCTAAAAAGGAGTCGCTCGCTCGCCCTTCTTTCGTCTCGTCTTCGTCTATCAGTCTCGCGCTAGTGGAGCGACCGCGCCGTGAACCGTCCAAACCGTCAACCCACGCCCGGGCCCGTCGCATCGATCAGATGCCGAGCTTGGTGCGGCGCCAGTGGCGACGCTTGGCGTTGTACCTGAGGAGCGATGAGAGAAAGACGACGGGGGCGGACGGTCAGTCGGGCGTTCGCGGCGTGGGTCGATAGATCGATCGATCTCTTGACCTAAATCTTGGAATTTCTCCACGCGGAGCAGGGGGCGGGAGGGATCGCCTCGGACGCGCACCTGATGGTGTTGCCGGTGCGCATGCGGATCCACTGGGGGATGGGCCTGTTCTGCTTCTGCTTCTTGCCCAGGATCTTCTTGGTCTTGAACGTCTTTTGGGACGGCTGCGAGGCGAGGAGAGCGCGGGGACGAGGGCGTCAGCGCGCGTTGGCGGAGGTGGGATGAAGAGGCTGGAGAAAGCCCTAATACGCGCGCGTCCGTCGACGCGCAGTTCGCGGCGTCCGCGGCGGTCGTCCACCCCGGACGCGTCGTGAACGCGGTCTCAGACGCGTCGCGAGGACATCGCGACGCGCGAACGCGCGCGCGCGCGATCGCGGCGGCGTCGAGACGACGCCGCCGGCCGCGTCGAGGGCTCGAAATCTTCCGCTGAAGCGCCTCGCGAGCGGAAAAAAACACGCGCGCGCGGTCGGAAGACGCGCGACGCGACGCGAGCGAGCGCGCGCGCGCGCGAACGCGCGGCGCGCGCGCGCCGGGAAAGGGCGAAGGACGCACCATCTTGACAACGCCTGAGGTGAACCGTGCGGGGCACCACGCAAAGAGACCGTCGATGGGGGTGGAGTCGACGCTAAATAGGCCGCTCCGCTCCGCGCGTCGACGCCGACTCGAAATGTTCTCCGACCGCGCCTCGAGCCAGGTGTTCGTTTTTCCAACGGCCCGCGGCACGTGGTCGCAGATCCGCGCGCACGGCGACGCGTCGAGGCTCGATCCCCCGCGCGTCGCGCGCGCACGGCGTTTGAGACCGTTCGAATAGCACGCGCGTGGCGCGACGCGCGCGGGGCATCGGAGGCGAGCGAGCGAGACCGCGGCGCGCGACGCGAAGCTACGAAGAGGAGAGGAGGAGACGAAGAACACGATATAAAATGTCCGCGGGGTACGACAAGCAGGGGCGCCCGGTCGGCGGCGGGGCGGCGCCGCAGATGGAGTTCATGAGCTTCGGGCAGGGCGGCAGCGCGTACCCGAACTACTCCGCGTACGGCGGCGGCGCGAGCGGCGGCGGCGGCGGCGCGTCGTCCTCGGGATGGGGCGGATCGAACGCCGCGAGCGGCGGGGGAACGGGATGGGGGGGAAGCGGAGGCGGAGGCGGAGGCGGAGGCGGCGCGTACGGCGGCGGCGACGACGACGAGACGCCGCTTCTCGAGGAGCTCGGCATCGACCCCGGGCAGATCGTCCGGCGGACGTTCGCGATGCTCAACCCGCTGTCGACGCGCGCGGAGGACGCGGGCGACGACGACCTCGCCGGCCCGCTCCTCTTCGCGTTCGCGCTCGGCTCGTTACATCTGATGCGCGGCCGCGTGCACTTCGGATACATCCTCGGGTGGAGCGCGCTCGCGACGTTCGCGATGCAGTGGCTGCTGAATCAGCTCGCCGCGGGCGGGGACGGGACGCGGATAGAGCTGTACCGCTGCGGAAGTATCATCGGCTACTGCATGCTGCCGATGTGCCTCCTCGCGGCGGCGGCGCTCGTGTTGCCGACGGGGAGCGTCACGACGGCGATCATCGCCGCGGTGCTCGTGTCGTGGTGCACGAGCAAGGCGACCGCGCAGTTCCTTCGGTCGCTGCCGAACGCGCAGGGGAAGCGGTTGATCGTCGCGTACCCGACGTTCACGTTGTACACGTTTTACGCGTTGTTGTCGACGTACTGATGAGTACTGAGAGCTGATGAGCATAGACTACTACTGTACGTGTTGTTGGAATTCGTCGTCACGTCATCATCACGTTACACTACTACACGTCGTGCTACTCGTAGAGTTCAAAGTCGTCGTGACCGCGCGCGATGTGATGCTCGTCGACTCTTTTCTTTCGTCGCGTACGCGTCCGGTCGTCGTCGCGTCGTTCTTCTTCCGTCCGTTCACCGCCGCGGCTCTCGCTTGACCCGTCGCGGCCGCGGCTCCGCGCCGAACGGCCCCACCGCCGCGCGCGCCGCCGGCGGCGCGCCCTCCTCGTTCCCGTTCGCGCACATCCCACCGCACCGGCACGCGGGCGTGCACTTGGTGTCGAGCGTCACGCACGCGCACGTCATGCATCGCCCGGGCGCGCACCGGCATTTGATGGCAGCGTCGGCGTCGCCGGCGGCGCCGGCGGCGCCTTGGACCCTGCGTCCGAACAGGTCCTGGAGATCCCGCAGCGAGAGCTGCTGCCGCATCGCGCGCAGGGACTCCGCGCCGTCGCCGAGCGCGGCGTTGAATATCGCGCGCTTGCGCTCTTGCAGGGCCTGGATGCGAAGCTCCACGGATTCGCTCACGATGAGACGCGTCACCTTCACTTCCTTCGTCTGTCCGATGCGGTGACAGCGGTCGATCGCCTGGTCCTCGATCGCGGCGTTCCACCACGGGTCGACGAGGATGACGTTGTTCGCGCAGTTCAGGTTGAGGCCGAGCGACGCGGCTTTCAGGGAGACGAGGAGCACGGTCGCCTCGCCTCTTCGAAACGCCTGGACGATCGCCGCGCGTTTCGGGAGCCCTTGCGTCCCGTCCAGGCGAAGGACCGAGTGCCCGGCGTCCTCGATCTTCGGGCCGACGATGTCGAGAAACGTCGTGAACTGCGAGAACAACACCGTCTGTTCCGGCCGCGTCCTGCGTCCGTCCACGACCGGCGCGGCGGCTCTCGTCGCGTCGAGCTGCTCGAGCACCGCGCGAATCTTCGCGCTGTTCGCGATTTCGGGCGCGGCGGCGGCGGCGGCGTCGTCGGCGTCGGCGTCGGCGTCGGCGGCGTCGTCGCGACCGTCCTCTCCGCCGCCGCCCGCGCGCCGCCGCCGCCCCAGCTCCGCCGCGCGCGCGAGCACCCTCGCCATCGCCTCCTTCGCCTCGTCGTGCCGCGGGTCCAACCCCCCCGCGTCGGCGTCGCGCCGCGCCGCGTCCGCGCGCGCGTCCACCGCCGCCTCGAGCGCGCGCAAATTCAGCACCCCTCTCCCGCCCTCCGCGTCGTCCACGGGCTCGAGGCACATCGGGCAGCACCCCCGCTCCGCGCCCGTGGCCTGCGCGCTCGCGTGGAGCGCCGCGCGGAGGCACGTCAGGCACATCGGGCCGTGCCCGCACGGCCCCGTCGCGGCCGCGTCGTCGACGGCGTCTTTGCAAATCGGGCACTGCTCGCACTCTTCGATGTTTCGCTCGAGCTCGCGCACGCGCGCGACGCCGAGCTCGGCGAGGAGCTCGTCGCGGGTCAGCGCGCCGGCGCCGTCCTCGCCGGCGCCGCCGTCTTGGTCCCCGAACCGCGCTTCTTTCAGCAACAGCGGGTGATCGCACGCCTGTCGAAGCTTCAGAAGCAGCACGAGGATGTGCATGTAATTTCGTTTCCATCCGCGCTTGACGTACTTATCGAACAGCGCCTGCGTGCCCTCCTCTAGCGCGCGGTAGAAATCCCGCTCGCTCTCGTCGAACTCCACCTCCTTGACCTCGATCGTGCGCGGGGGAAGAACCACGATCGGCGCGCCGTCGATCGTGATCTGCTTCGTCCGCCGCAACGCCACCGCTCGCAGCGCGACGCGTAAGCATTTGAACCCCTCGAGCTGCGCCGCCGGGTTCCGCACCTTACGGCACGGGTTGCTTATCGTCAGCCGGAAGTGGTTCCACGACGCGAACGGCTGGTAGCGCAGAAACCGAAATAGCGAGTAGACGTCGTCCGCGCCGTTCATGAGCGGCGTCCCGGACAGGCACCACCGCCGCTCGCACTGCAGATGCGCGACGGCGACGGAGGAGTTCGTCCTCCGGTTCCTCACGATGTGCGCCTCGTCCAGCACCACCCTGAACCACCGCACGTTAAACAGCGGCGTGAGCTCCTTCGTTAGCGTCCACTTCGCGTACTCCGCGGCGACGGTGCCGTACGTCGTGACGACGACGTCGTGCGCGAGGAGCGAGGTCTCGTCGAGGAAGTTTTTCGAAGCGCCGTGATAGATCACCGCGCGAAGGTTGCTCTTCTCCTCCGTCTCGTCCTTCCACTGCTGCGCGACGATCGCGGGGCAGACGACGAGCGTCCTCGCGGGGACTCTGTTCGCGCCGACGCCGCCGATCCCGGCGTTTCTGCGGCGCGCGCTCTCGTCGCGCGCGCCCTCGCGGTCCGCGGCGCGGATCGCCTCGCGGCGGCGGTGACGCTCGCGCGCGAGCTGGCCCTCCTCGTCGTCGCTGTCGCCGAACGCGAGGCGTTCGCGTCGCCGCGTCGCCTCATCCCTCGCCGCGGACTTCTGAAGCCTCCGCTTCTGTTTGCACTCCTTGCAGATGCAGCTCGGGAGGTGCGGCAACGCGGGCGGGGTCGTCGCCGGCGTCGGCGTCGTCGTCGTCGTCGTCGCGACGCCGCCGCGCGCCGCCGGCCCCGGCGTCCGCGCGTTCCCACCGCCCCATCCCCCCTCCCCGCCGCGTATCTCCGCCTCGAACGACTCCCGCGTCGTCCGCCGCCCGCCGCGGTCGCGCCCGAGGTCCCCCGCGCCGCGGCGCCATCGCATCACGTGCGGCCGCGCGCCGGCGACCGGCGGGTCCGGCGGCGGGCACGACACGATGATCGCGAGCGTGGAGATGGTCTTCCCCAAGCCTTGATCGTCCGCGAGCACGCCGCCGCGGCACCGCGCCGTCGCCTCCCTCTTCTTCGCCCACGCGAGCGCCCTCTTCTGGTGCCGCATGAGATCCACCTTGAGCGTCCCGCGCGGGACGTCCGTCTCCTCGGTCGCGTCCGCGACTTTGAGGCTGTCGAGGATGTGCCCGAGGTCTTGCCGCTCCTCCTCGCCGTCGGAGTCGTCGTCGTCCGCGCGCGGCGGCGGCGGCGCGAACGGCGGCGGCTGAAACGCGGCGTCGTCGACGTTCACTCCCCCGCCCCCGTTTCCGCCGTTCCCGTTCGCGGCCGCGTCCGCTCGCCGCCGCGCGTCGCGCTTCGCCTTCCACGCCGGGACCGTCTCCTCCGCGAGGCAGTGGTCTTCGTCCGCGCGCTCGCCGTCGCCCCACAGGTCGCACGGCGCGGGCGCCTCGCAGACGAAGCAGAAGCAGTTGGGACACGCCGCGGCGGGGGGCGTCGCGTTGAACTTGAGCGTCGCGCACAGCGCGCGCGCGTGCGGGAAGTCGTTCAGCGCGCCCTGGAACGCGGTCCCGCCGACGATGGCGACGTCCGGGTCGTTCTCGGCGTCGGCGGCGGGCGCGGCGGCGGCGGGCGCGGCGGCGGCGGGCGCGGCGGCGGCGGGCGCGGCGTTCGTTGAAATATTGTGGGCACCCTCCCCCGCTCGCGCCTGAGGCGCCGGCGCGGCCGGAGCGCGCGCCGGCGGCGGTGCCGGCGGCGCCCTCGCGCCCTCCGCCTTCACCGCCGCCGCCGCCCTCGCGGCCGCCTCCATGCGCGCGTCTCGCGCGGCGCCCGCTTCCGTCGCCCCAGCCTCGCGTCGCACGCGCTCGATCACCGCTCGCGCGTCCACCTTCTTCCCGAGCTTCACCCACGAGACGTCTTCCATGACCATGATGTCGTCGCTGTCGCTGTCGCTGTCGCTCATGACCTCGACGACGTCCGGGGCGCCGTTCGCGGTCATCCCGGAGGGTCGCCTCGCCGCGGCGAGGGGCGCCCAGATCTGCCCAGATCTGGGAACAAACGAGGTTGACATTCATCAGTTTCGACGACGCGACGCGACGCGACGGGACCATCACAACGAGGAACGCGGCGTCGGGGACGCATGGCGACGCGGATGGGCGCGCCGCACGCGCGCGGGATGGCGTCGATGCTGCGCCGCGTCGTGACCGCGTCCACCGGCGGCGGCGGCGGCGCGTCCGCGTCCGCGGGCGCGGGCGCGAGCGCGAACGCGCGGACGACGCGCGCGCTGCGACTGACCGACGCCCCGCCGCCGACGCCGCTCCCTCCGCGGGTGAAGCACGTCGTCCTCGGCCCGGACGCGTTCGGCCCCGCGGCGACGATCGTCGCGTCCGCGCTCGGTCTCCCGGACGTGGACGCGCGATACGCGCGGCAGCTCATCGAGTTCGGCGCGGTGTACTACTCCGACGTCCCGCCGCCGCGTCCGCGCGCCGCGAGCGGAAGCGGATCGTCGTCGTCGACGAACAACAAACGCGACCCGAGCGCGACGCCGCAGCGCGTCAAGTCCGCGAACCGCGTCGTGCACCCGGGCGGGTATCTCCGCGTGCACGTCCACCCGAAGCGCTTCCCCGCCGCGCGCGCCACGGACTGGCGACGCGCGATCATCGCGGCGGGGGACGCGTTCGTCGTCGTGGACAAGCCCGCGGGCGTCAACGTAGGATTCACCGTGGACAACGCGAAGGAGTGCGTCGCGCAGTGCGTCGCGCGCGCGCTCGGGGACGCGTTCGCGGAGAACGGCTCGGACAGTTCTTCGACGGATAGCTCGACGGAGTGTTCTTCGTGGGGGTGGGCGGACGCGACGCCGCTCATCGTGACGCATCGACTCGACGCCGCGACCTCCGGCGTCCTCGTGCTCGCGCGCGACGTCGAGTTCGCGCGGCACTTCAACGACGCGCTCCGCGAGAGGAAGGTGCAGAAGACGTACGCGTGTGTCAGCGAAGCGCGCGTGCCGGTCGGCGTGATGGAACACTGGACGGATCCGGAGGATGCGACGAGAGGGCCCCGGCGGCACGTGATGCGGCCGCCGCGAGAGGGGGATACGCCGTGGGAAGAGCGCGGCGGCGGCGGCGGCGAGACGTCCACATCGATCGCGGAGGAGCGCGCGGAGAAGGCCGCGGCAACGACGTCGAAGCAGAAGAAGAGCCAGCGGCAGAAGAAGCGCGAGCGGCGGCTCGCCAAGGCGGAGGAGTTCGTCCACCCGGACGGCCGGCGGCGGTGCGTGCTGCGCGTGTTGACGTGCGAGGAGGTGAAAATCCCCGGGGAAAAAGCCGGGGACGCGCCGCCGCGGTACGAGTCCACGGTGGAGCTCGTGACCGGGCGGACGCACCAGATCCGCGCGCAGTTCGCCGCGTCCGGGGCGCCGCTACTCGGCGACGTGCTGTACGGCGGCGCGCGCGTGGGACGGGGGACGGGGGAAGGCGAAGGCGAAGGCGAAGCGCCGAGGGTGTTGGGAAACGACGACGCGTTGTGTCTTCACGCGAGCGAGATTCGCGTCGACGTCGCCGGGCCGCTAGGGCGGAGCGGGACGACGTTTAAGGCGTCGCCGCCGTGGTGGAGGAGGGGCGCGTCGTAGGACGCTCTGCGGTGTTTTGCCGTCACCGCGCGCGCGGTGTCGCGTACGCTTAAATCATCAAATCAATCAACAGAGCTACGTAAACAAAAAAGACGGGGCGCTCAGCCGCGGCGGCGCGAAAAATACTCCATCTCACGCCGGGTTGTTCTTCTTGAACTCGGCCATGAAATCGACGAGCGTCTTGACGCCCTCCATCGGCATCGCGTTGTAGATGGACGCGCGCGCGCCGCCGACGGAGCGGTGCCCCTTCAGCGACTCCAGCCCCGCGGCGTTGGCCTCCTTCAAAAACTTCTTCTCGAGGTCTTCCCCGCCGCCGAGGGTGAACGGCACGTTCATGAGCGAGCGGTACTTCTTATCCACGGGGGAGACGTAGTACCCGTCGCTCCCGTCGATCGCGTCGTACAGCATCGCCGCCTTCTCGATGTTCATCTTCTCGACCGCCTCCAGTCCGCCCATCTTGAGAAGCTTCTTGAAGACCAGCCCGGAGGTGTACATGGTCCAGCACGGCGGCGTGTTGTACATGCTCTCGTTGTCCGCCATGAGCTGGTAGTCGAACATCGTCGGGCACGCGTCGGCGACTTCGCCGATGAGGTCGTCGCGGACGATGACGATCGCCATGCCGGCGGGGCCGATGTTCTTCTGGACGCCGCCGTAGATGACGCCGTATTTTTTCACGTCGATGGGTTTGCTGAGGTAGTTGCTCGACATGTCCGCGACGAGCGGGACGTCGCCGACGTCCGGAACGTCCTTGAACTCCACGCCGCCGATCGTCTCGTTGCTGCAGATGTGCACGAACTTCGCCCCAGGGGTGAGCTTCCACTCCGAGACCGGGGGAATCGTGGAGAAGTTGGAGTCCGCGGACGTCGCGGCGAGGTTGACGTCCACGTATTTCTTCGCCTCCGCGAACGCTTTTTTACCCCACGCGCCGGTGACGACGAAGTCCGCGACGCCGCCCTTCGGGGCGAGGTTCATCGGGATCGCCGCGAACTGCGACGACGCGCCGCCTTGAAGGAAGAGGACCTGATGGATGCGCGGGCGAGGGATCGGGGCGTGCGTCAGGATGGGGATCACCGCGCGAGAGGTGGAGGCGAGGAGGGATCGGAAATATCATCTCTCGCGCCGCAAAAAAAAAGTTTCGCGCGTCGATCGATCGAGCGAGCGAACGATCGAACCTTGTAGTTGTCCGGGATCCCCACGAGTTCGCGGAGGTCCGCCTCCGCCTCGGCCGCGATCTTCATGAAGTCCTTCCCGCGGTGGGACATCTCCATGACGGACATCCCCGTGCCCTTGTAGTTGATCATGTCCGCCTGAGCCTCCTCGAGGATGTCCAGCGGCAACATCGCGGGGCCCGCGGAGAAGTTGAACTTGCGCTCCGTCGCGGGTTCGGTGGCCACGGCGCGGGTCGCGACGGCGACGCGGCGCGTCGGCGCGCGCGCGGACGTCTTGGAGACGACCTTCTTGCCCGCGAAGGCGCGGGCGGGGAGGGTAACGCTGAGGGCGGCCATGGCGTGAGGGGGCGGATCGCGGAGACGCGGCGCCGGAACAAGACGAACGCGAAGCGGCGGCGACGTGCGCTTTATTCAAAGCCACAGACGCGCTCGGACGGGAAGATCTCCAAGATACGTCACATCGATCAGCAGAGCCCGGACGCGCGATGAGCTTCCGATCAAACGCGACCGATCGACCGATCGCGATCGACTCTCTCAAACCAAACCGAAGCGCCCTCTTCAGTTCGCGCGAGAAATAATCCAAACCAAACGCACAACGACGACGCGCGGCCCGCACGCGGCGCCACCGCGCGTCCACCCTCTTCCTCGCGACCCCACGCGCGCGCGGACGGACGGACGGACGCGCGAAGAAGACGCCGCCGCCCCGCCCTCATCGTCGCATGTCCGCACCCCCAACGCCCGCGACGCTCCCGGAGGAGCCGGAGAACCCACCCGGCGTGCACTCCGTCTGGATCATCAACAAGTCCGGCGGTCTCGTCTTCCGCGACGTGTACGCGGACATCGCGCCGATAGACACGAACGAGACGCTGCGCCTCGCGTCGATGTGGCACAGCATGCACGCGATCGCCGCGCAGCTCGGCCCGGAGCTCCGCGGCGAGCTCCCGAGCGAGGTGGGCATCGATCCGGAGCACGGCGGCATCGAGTGCCTAGGCGCGTTCTATACACTGGTCCCCGTACGACCCCGTTCGCGTGGTGAACGCCGATCCTTAAGGACTTTTCCCGGCGTGTCTCTCCGCCCACCTCTCGCTTTCAATCCCCGTCCTCGACGCCTTTCAACTCCAACTGACGCCTTTCAACTCCACCTCGCCATCGCTTCGTATGGAACGACCCTCAGAGACGGACGGCTTCCACCTCCACTGCGCGCAGACGCCGACGGGGACGAAGCTGATGCTGACGTGCGCGCCGGGGACGTTCGCGGACCACGACGCCGGGCAGGCGGTGTTGAGGACGGTGCGCGACCTGTACGCGGACTACGTGATGAAGAACCCGTTCTACGAGGCGGAGATGCCGATTCGATGCGAGCTGTTCGAGAAGCGCTTGCGCGACGCGATCGACGCGGTGAACGGGGCGGCGTGAGCGAGGGTCGCGGCAGAGGTCGGCGACGCGACGCGAGAGGGAGGGTGGCGCGCGGACGGATGGAGATGGTCGCCGCGCGCGTCGGGATATGATAGATGCAGCAGCCAGCACGTAGTCTTTAGTCTAGCGGCGGCGGGGCGGCGGCCGCGAGCGAAAATAAACAACCGATGGATGACTCGCGGGGCGCGCGACCAGTCGAGTCTTGAAGAGAAAGCCGCCTCGAGGCGACGCGCGTTACAACACTCACGATCTAATACTCGTCTTCTCGCGTTCGCGCTCCAGGCGGTCCCCCGGTCGTTCGCGCTCGTCTTCTCTCGACGAACGAACGAAACGAGACGAACGATCGCGCGTCGGGCGTTCAAACAGACGACGTCTTCGTCCCAAAAACCCTACTTCGACGCGTGATCTCGACGCATTAATACCCTCCCGGAGCGACGTCAAACCCGGATCCAAACCCGGACGCGTCCACGGGCGCGGCCGCGGCATCCCACCCCGCGGGCGCGGGCGCCTCGTTCCACTGCCCCGCGACGGGCACGGCGCCGCCGAACCCGCCCACGGCGCCGCCCGCCTGCTCGTCCCAAGGCTCCGCGCCGCCCGGCCCCGGCGGCGCGCCAAACGCGTTCGCGTCGTACGCGGGGGCGTCGCCCACGACCGCGGCCGCGGGTTCCTCCGGCTTGTCCTCGAGCTCCTCCGGCTCGCGGTAGAAGAAGAGGTCGACCATGACGTCCCACGGGTTCGCCGGGGAGATCGTGCCGCGCATCTGAAGCACCATGCGCGCGAGGAGGTAGTAGAGGCAACCGATCGAGTGCTTGGCCTTGTTGTTCGCGGGGATCGCGACGTCGACGAGCTTCAGCGGGGAGTCCGTGTCGCAGAAGGCGATCGTGGGGAGGTTCACGTACGCCGTCTCCGAGATCGGCTGCTGATCCGTGCGCGGATCCGTGAGCACGAGCACGCGCGGCTCGTGGAAACCCTCCTGAATCTGGTTCGTGTACGTGCCCGGAGTGTGGCGGCCCGCGATGGCTTTCGCGCCGGTGTACTGCGCGTATTTGAGCACCGCGCGCTGACCGTACGGACGCGCGGACTGGCAAACGACGTCGGCGGGGTTCTCGATCGCGACGAGGATGCGCGCGGCGAGCATGAGCTTGTCCCACGTCTTCCCGAGGTTGATGATGTAGATGCCGTCGCTGCGGCGTTTCCAGACGTACCGCTCCATCTGGAAGTCGCAGTTTTTCGTGCCGAGATGGCACCCGGCGGCGAGCATCATCTGGATGTCCGCCTCCTTTTGGGAGAGCTGAGACATGATGAAGGTGGGGTTCAAACGAATCCGACGGTGCGGGTACGACGGTGCGTTCGCGCCGCGCAAAGAGGGCGAAGACGCGGCGGTCGCGGTCCGTAAAACAATCGTCAAACCCTATTTTTTCGCTCGGCTCTTCACGATACCAGCATGGCACCCGCGTGTGCGGGAGTTCCCGGCCCGAACAGAACCCCTGACGAAAGCGTGACAGAACGTGTCGCGTCATCACTCCTTCGCGCGCGGTCGTGGATGTTCGCGGCGCTCGCGAGCAAACCGCGCGCGCGTCTCTTCCCCTCTCCGGTCGCCGTCCGTCGCCACACCGTCCGCGACGCGCCCATCGCGCGCGCGTTCTTCAAGAGCAAGAGCGCCGACGCGTCGTCGTCGTCCGCGGCGGATACCATGGGGACGAGGTACAAGGAGATTCGCGAGATCCTCCGCGCGCCTCCGCGGCACTGGGTCGGGAACGGCTTCCACGTCTTCCCCGTGTTCCACAACCGCGCGTTCACGAAAGAACTCTCCCCGTGGCTCATGTTCGACTACGCCGCGCCGAAGGAGTTCTCCCCCGGGTACGAGAGGCGCGGCGTCGGGCAGCATCCCCATCGCGGGTTCGAGACGATCACGATCGCGTGGCAGGGCGAGGTGGAGCACGGCGACTCCGTGGGCAACCGCGACGTCATCGGCCCGGGGGACGTGCAGTGGATGACCGCCGCGCGAGGTATCATCCACGAGGAGTTCCACAGCACGGAGTTCACGCAGCGCGGCGGCGTCTTCGAGATGGCGCAGCTGTGGCTGAACCTTCCGGCGAAGCACAAGATGGACCCGCCGCGATACCAGCCCATCCTCGCGAAGGACATCCCGGTCGTTCCTCTGAAGCCGGCGCGTTCAGAGGACGCGGGAAAAGTCTCGTCGAGTGGCGGCGAGTGCACGATCAGGGTCATCGCGGGGGACGAGAAGACGTACGGCGTCAAGGGCGCGGCGTCGACGCACACGCCCGTGGAGCTCCTCGACGTTCGCGTCGCCGTCGCCGACGTGGACTTCGACGTCCCCGTCCCTGACGGCCACAACACCGTGGTCTTCGTCAGGAGAGGCGGGATCACCGTCGGCGAGGGGAAGAAGAAGGTGGAGCAGCAGGGCGTCGCGCTGATGCACCTCGGCGGGGACACGTTGCGGTTGACCGCGACGGAGAAGGACACGGAGATTTTGGTCCTCGCGGGGGAGCCCATCGACGAGCCCATCGCGGCGCGCGGGCCGTTCGTGATGAACACGCACGAGGAGATCTCGCGAGCGAACAAGGACTTCATGAACGGGCTGATGGGACAGTGAGCGTGCTGTGTGGCGTGCGGCGATGAACGACGACGCGCGCGCGAGTGATGAGTTATCCGTCGACGCGACCTTCACGGTATCGTTACGTATTCTGTATTACGATTACGCGTACGCGCCGATGAAAAGCTTCCTTCTTTCTCCATACAGACGTCTACGGCGCGTCTTCCGTCGGATCCGTCGCTTCGCCCGCGACGCGCGCCGCTCTCGCCCGCCCGCCTAGCCTACAACCCGATCTTCTGCCCGTACAGCGACCTCAACAGCTCCGGGGTGAGCCCCGCGTCCGCGCCGCCGCCGCCGCCGCCGCCGCCGAGCCCGCCGATCTGCGGCCCCGTCCGCGCGCGTTGGTTCCGCTCGATCGCGTTGTCCCTCGCGATGAGCTGATCGTACTTGTCCCCGCCCCCCGGCGCGGCGATCTCCCCGCTCGTCAGCGCGACCAAGATCGCCCACGTTATGATCGACGACGGCAGGACGACGACGGTGAACAAGAGCGTCCATATCGTGTTCGTGAACTCTTGCTTCGACTGAATCGCCGTCGTGTCGTCGCCGACTTGTCGTCGGAAGTACTGCCACTCCAACTCCAGCAACACGTCGAAGAACCACGACACCGCGCCGACGCCCGGGGGTTTCAGCGCGTTGTAGAACACCGTCACCGCGAACTCGTCGCGCTCGCGCTTCGCCTGCGCGTCGCCGTCGGATATCGACTCCGAGCCGACGCGGTCGCCGTTTCCGGACCAGTCCCCGCTGCCGCTTCCGAGCCCTCCGTCTCCGAGGCCCATGTTGCCCGCCTTGTCCATGACCTTATCCTCGTGCGTCACGATCTTCCCGGCGTCGTTCACCTTGATCGTCGTGATCCCTTTCACGGAGTACTCCCTCTCGCCGGTCCACTCGCGACGGACGTCGTCGACCTCTTTCTTCAGCTTTCGGTACTCCTCGCCGTCGTAGTCGGGGAATTTCGTCTCGACGAAGTCGAGCATGGCGGCGTCCGGGTTGAACGCGCCGTCCCACTCCGCGCGCCATCGCACCAGAAGCACGCCGGGCTCTGGGCAGAACGCGCGCTCGACGTCGTACGTGAACTCCAGCAGCGTGCGCTTGATGAGCGGCCTCCACGCCTTCATGAGCGCGTTGTATTGCTCCGCGCCTCGAGCTTCGTGCACCTGCGACGTGTACACGACGTCGGGCGACGCCATGGACGGGTCCACCGCGAACATCTCCGCGCCGAGGTTCTTCCGCAGCGCGTCGCACGTCCTCAGCTGCGCGCTGAGGCCGGTCTCGCCGGAGAGGTCGTCCCACGACGCGTTCGGCTCGTCCGCGGAGGAGGACGCGCGCGGGGGGCGCGCGATCCGGCGACGATCTCGAGGTTTCGACGAGGCATCGGCGCCGCTCGTCGTCGTCGTCGGTATCCGATCGCTCGCGCGCGCGCCGCGCGATCGCGCCGCCGCGCACGCGCGCGCGCGACGCGACGTGGACGGCGACGACGCGTTACAGAGGCGGCATCGCGCCGGCGCGATCGACGTCGTCGCGGACATCGACGGACCTGCGGCGCTCTCGGCCAGCGCAGCGGCGCCCTAATGAGTGCACGTGCGCACCGCCAGAGTTTCGATAAAAGAGGACGAGTCTGACATGACGCAGCAGCGATTCTTCGATCGTTCGGTCGTTTGCACCGACGCGCAGCTAGACGTCTTATTACTACTCCACAAACCCTCTACACCCCCACCCACGTCACGTCGCGTCACTTCTTCGGCAACAGCGGGGTGAAATTTTCCGGGACGGACCACTTGTCCTTCGGGAGGTACTGATACACCCCCGCGGCGAGGTGCGATCGCCGCCGCTCCGGCGTGTTCATGTAATCCTCGTACGCCTGCTTCGTGCTCCACTGCTGCTTGAACGTGTGCTCGTTCACCCCGGGCCCCGGGTGAAAGTCGCAGGAAACGAACCCGGGGGCGGCTTTCATCGCGGTCTGCCGCGACGCCATCTCGTCTTTCAGGCGCTTCACGACCGCGGCGTCGCCGTCCGGGACGACGAAGACGTTCGTCGCGACGTACGGCTCGCCGTTCTCGCCGGGCTTTCCTCCCGCGCGCGTCGCGACGGACGCGGCACGGCGGCCGCGGCGCGGCGTCGTCTGTGGGACGGCGGAGAATAGGGGAGGGGGGATGTCGGGGTCAGATGGCTGGGGATCCGGCGGCTGGGGATCGCGGCGGCGGGTAGTGGTGGGGACGGGATCGGCGGCGATGGAAAATCGAGGACGAATCGGAGGGTTTGGTCTCGGGGCGGCGCGCGCGTCCTGTCGCGCGCGCGGAGAGCGCGCGTCGCGTCGAGGACGGAGGACGCACCCGCGAGGAGGGAGCGCGGACGGAGCACGGGGCGACGCCCGCGAGGGTGTGCGCGGACATGTCGAGAGCGCGGGGACGTTACGGCGCGGCGACGCGCGTGAAGGTCTGTCGACGAACGCGGCCGGGTCGTGGTGGCTGGGCGAAAACGGGCGTCGTGACGTCTCGAACGACGACCGATCAAGCCGACCCTGCCGATCGAGGGCACGTTCATCGATGAATTTTGCGTTCACCCTTCGAATCCTTTCGTTCACCCTAAAAATACGCGCTCCTGATTGGCCGACGCGGTTTGAATTCAGAACTGTGTGAAGGAGATACAATGCATCGGTCCGTTGAAGACGTCGCCGAATCGCGCGCGACGGGCTACTAGCGCCGGCGCGACGCTCCCGATATCGGACGCCGCCGCGTGCACGAACCGCGACGGGTGGGCGAAACCGGCGCCGCCGAGAGGGTCATCGCTCGACGACTCTCGGGGGGCGACCGGCATCGCGGACGCGCGGCGCGTCGTAAGGAGAGCGCGCGGAGCGCACGGCTCGCCGCTGCAGAGGTGGGTGGGCATACACACATCGTCGCAAATCGCGCCTCGATCGGATCGCGCGTGCGTCGATCGCGTCGTCGATTGTCGCCCCGCGCGCGCGGTTCCGTCCCGAACGCGAGCTTCTCTGCGAGCTCACGCGCGCGTGGGGGGGAATCGTCGCCGCGTTCGTTCGCGCGTCCGGAAGCGCGGCGGGGGAGGAATTAATCTAATCCACCGCCGGCGCATCTTTCTTCTCGCGCTCGATTCGAAGCGTCGTCCCCTCCGCGCGATCGCGCGCCGCGCGCGTCGCCGTCGCCGCTCCCCCTCGCGGTCACTGACGTCCTTCTCGTCCGCGCGCTTCTCTCGCGATTCCCGCAGGCGACATGGCGTCGGCGGTGGTGACGCCGACGACGGCGTCGAGGTTCACGCGACGGCCCGCGAGCGCGCGCGCGTCGCGCGCGCGTCTCCTGCGCGCGAGCGGCGTCGCGGGAACGCCGCTCGCGGCGCCGAGCGCGAGCCCGCCCGCGAGCGCGATCCGGTCGTGGACGCGGCGATGGCGCGTCCGCCCCGCGGGCGCGGCGTCGCTCGCGCCGCTGAGGCCCGTGACCGCGGCGCAGTGCGCCGCGGGTCGCTTCTCCGCGGATCGCAACAATCGAGTCGCGAATGACCGTTCCCCAAGCGGCGGCGGCGGCGCGCGAAGCGGCGCGCGAAACGTTCACGCGACGTTCACTCCGCGCGCGTCCACCGCGAACGCCTCGAACGCCCCGGACAACGACTCGGACTTCGACGCGGACGCGCGCGGCTACGCGCTGCCGCGCGTCCCCGTGACGATCACGAACGGACAGCGCGCGTTCGCGCTGTGGACGTGCCTCGCCGTCGCCGCCGCCGCGTTCAGCGTCCCCTTCGGCTTCGTGCGCTGGAACCTCTCCACGATCGCGCCGCTCATCTGGTGGAAGATGGGCCTCTCCACCGCGATTGGGACGACGCTCGCGCTGCCGTACTTGCTCGCGGTCGCCGCGCCGGCGGCGACGCACCGCGCCGGGTTCGCCGCGTTGCTTCGCGCCGCGTTCGGCGTCCGCGGCGCCGCGCTCCCGAGCCTCGCGCGCGGGCTCCTGGGGCTCGCGCTCACCGCGTTCGCGACGTTGATCGGCGGCGAGGCGACGTACGGTCTGTGGGGGGAGGTGATGTATCTGTATTTCGACGGCGCGCCGCTCCCGGCGGAGGCTCGCTTTGGCGCCTATTTCGCGTTTTGGGCGCTGCAGCTCGCGACGACGGCGGGGAAATCCGCGGGGAAGAAGGTCCTCGCGCTCGGAAGGACCGCCGCGGTCGTCGCCGCGGCGTACCTCGCGTGGTCCTGGAACGCCGGCGACGCCGCGGTCGTCTTCGACGCGACGATGAGCACGATGCCCGCGCTGAGCGAGGGCTTGGCGGCGTTCGTCCCCGAGCTCGGCGCCGAGTTTTGGAAACACGCCGCCACCGTCGCGGGTGTGTGGATGACGTTGGGGTCTATCGTCCCCGACTACGCGCAGCGGATGACCGACGCCGGCGAGGTAGCGAAAGGGCAGATTTTGCTCTTGCCCGCGCTCTCCGCGGCGGCGGCGCTCGTGGCGTCGTCGCTCGCGCAGGCGCCGAACGTGGCGCTGTACGGCGTCGTCGCCGTCGCGGCGCTCGTCACCAACGCGGTCGTCAACGTCGTCGGACCGACCGCGGCGCTGACCGGGAATGGTGACGGCGGGATGTCCCCGCGCGCGGCGGCGGTCGTCGTCGCGCTCGCGGCGGCGGCCGCCGCGCCGCTCGTGCTGACGTGGCAGCAGGTTGTCGCCGCGTCGTCGTGGGCGGTGGGCGTCGGGTCGCTGCTCGTCGCGCCCGCGGTGGCGGTCGCCGTCGCGGACTACTGGGTCATGCGCGACAGGGTCATCGACCGCGACGCGCTCGGGTCGAGCCCGGATTCGGAGGGGGCGTACGCGTATTTGAAAGGCGTGAATTGGCGCGCGATCGTGGCGTTCATCGCGGGCGCGGCGCCGGACGTGGTGTCGCTCGCGCCGGAGATTCTGGGCGCGTTCGCCGGGAAAGGCGCGGACGTGTTTTATTCCGCGTACGTCGTCAACATGGAGTACAGCAGCCTGTACTCCGTCGCGTACGCGTTCGTGACGTACGTCTTGCTCTCCACGATTTTCATGCCGGATTCGGTGAAGATGGCGAAAGCGGAAGCGAGGGAACGGGAGAACCGCAGGGGCGTCGGGAAAGAGGGCGCGGCGGCGTCCAAGCCGCCGCCGCTGCGGACGCGAGTGCCCGTGATCCCGCCGTCGCAGCCCGGGGAGCCGCGAACCGCCGCGGAGGAGGAAGAGCTCCAGTCCTACGTCGCGGACACGGTCTCCACCGCGGATCGCGTCGCGGGCGCGGTCGCGAAGGGGCCGTCCTCCAAGTCGGCGGCGGACGACGACGCGTCCGCGCCGTCGTCGACGCCGCCCCTCGCGGACGTCCCGGTCGTCATCAACAAGAACACGGTGAAGAACAACTTCTACGTCGCGCAAGAGATCGAGCGCATGACGCGGAAGATGCCGCTCCCTGACCCGGACGACGACGAGGAGATCGATTTCGATGTCGTGAAGCGCTTCTACGACGACCTCGAAGCTCGAATCGGCGACGCGCTCGCTCCGGCGCGCGCGACGCAACGCGACGCCCTCGACGCGATCGCCGCGCTCGCGGCGGAGCAGCGCTCGATGCTCGAGGGCCACGTCGCGGACGGCGGCGGGATGTCCATGGCCGAGGTGCGGTACGAGGTGTTCAAGATGAAGCAGCTCGTCGCGGAGGCGGAGACGGCCGCCGCGGTGGTGGCGAAGGAGCTCTCCGAGGCGTGGGCGTTTTTCGAGCAAGAGGGCGCGGAGGACGTCGGAGAGATCGAAGCGCGGCTGGAGTCCGAGCGCGCGTCGCGGAACCTCGCCCTCGAGCGCAGGTCCGTCCAGGTCGTGTACAAGCTCGTGGACGAGCGGAAGCAGCGCGAGGCGGACGCGCGGCGCGCGGCGACGGAGCAGGCGAGGGAGCTGAGAGAGTCCGCCGCGAAGAAGCGCGACGTCGACGCCGCCGCGGCGAAGGCGACGGACGAGCTCCGCGCGGAGGACGAGTCGCGGTCGTTCATTCGCAACTGGGCGCTCGCCGTGGACACGTGGATCGTGCCTCCCATCCTCGAGGTCCCGATGCTTCCGATGTCCGAGCAGGAGGCGGCCAAGCGCGCGGAGGAGGACGCGCGGAGGAGTCAGTACGAGTTCAACGCGCGGCAAGTCGCGGAGGAAGAGAGCCGCCGCCGCGCGGAAGAGGACGAGCGACGGCAGTCCGCGGAGAGCGACCTTCGAAGGCAGACGATGGACGAGGAACGGCAGATTGGCCAGGAAGAAGTCCGTCGCAAGGCTGCCGCGGACGAGATCCAGCGCCTGCGGATGATGGTCCTGGAGTCCACGGAGGGGTTAGAGAGCGCGCAGAGCGGCGCGGGCAAGCGCAGCTCGATGCGAATGATCGAAGAGGAGACGAACGTCGAGCGCGAGAACATGCGACGCGACTCGATGCAGGTGGAGATCCAGCGCCTCGTGGACGACATCGCGGTGATGGAGGAGAAGGAAGAGCAGCGGCGAACGGAGTTCGACGCGCGGTTAGAGAGCATGGCGAACGAGGAGCAAGCGCGGCGGGACGAGGAGGCGGCGAAACGCGTCGACTTTAAAGCCGACGCGGAGCGCGCCGAGGAGGAAGAGATGAAACTCCGCGCCGAGGAAGAGAAGCTTCGCGACGCGGCTCGAAACGAGCTCGACGCCGCGAACGCCGCGCTCGCGGCCGTTGTCGAAGAGACCGAGTCCCGACGCGCGGACGCGCTCATGAACATCCGAAAGCTCATGGACGAAGAGGCGCAGACGCGTGCGGAGGAAAACGCGCGACGCGGCGACGCGGAGAACAGCCTCGCCATGGCTGCGATCGACGAGCGCGCGCGGCTTCTCGCGGAAGAGGACGCGCGCCGCGCCGTGGAGAACGCGAGACGCGCCGACGCCGCGGACGCCGCGGGGGACCGCGCGCGATCCGAGCAGGCGAACATCGAGACGGAGGAGATGCGTCGGCAAGACGCCGACGACGCGGTTCGCGCCGCGGGGGGCGAGTTGGAGGACCTCGAGAGAGAGATCGCGCAGCGTCGGTCCGGGTTCGCGCTCGACGCGGAGGCGCGCAAGATTGCGTTCAAAGCCCTGGAGGACGACGAGGCGCGACGGAGGGCGTTCGCGGAGGAGGCGATGGCAGCCGCCGCGGAGGCGGAGGCGAGGCGCGTCCCATCTCATCACACTGGTTCCCATACGACCGCGTTGGCGTGGTGAACGCCGATCCTTAAGGACTTCGCCCGGCGTTTCTATCCGACCACCCTGCGGT